TTTATAAATTCTTGAAACGCACAATCTGGTAAAGCTGCTGACCAACCCACTACCGGGCGTAATCACGAGTAAAGGAGTACTGCTGTGTATATGCCAGTAGGGGCACCTGAAGGATGGTGGTGAATGCAAGCCATTATGAAACTAAGCATCCAAAATCATCATGGAATAAAAATAATATTTATATTTTAAAACTTTATTCAAACATAGTAGTACATGTACTGTTAACCTGTATTTGTGCCAATAAAAATAAATGTATTTCAATTAATAAAATTAATCATAAAACAGTTTTCTAACCATAATTCTCTATCAGATGTGATTTCTTTAAAATAAATTAAGTCTTTAAACCTTTTTAAAAAATACCATGCATATTAAACCGAAAATAACAAGTAAATGTATAAAGGAAAAAAATGGAAATTACACTACATGATGCTTTACGATCTCGGTAAAACCGTTTGTGATAAGCCTTAAAAGGTGCCTACAAAAAATAGTATTAAACTACGAATAAATAAAAAAGAATATGTTTGAAACGTAATAATTGTTTACTAATATATATTAAAACGATTATCCAATAAATTTAAATAAGGAAATTATTTAAAAATATATAACTACCGCTCAGAAATCGACCATAACGGTGATAAATTCAAGCACGTTTTCTATTTGTTTACATTAACATCCGGGTATGTTGCTCGCTGGAGCATTCAACTTGCTTGCTCGAATGGCGTCCATGCGATTACAGAGGGCGTAGTGTTGTGGAGATAGGAGTTACCTATCTTGCGCCGCGTAGCGGCGCTATACGATCTTTGATAAAATCACTTGCAAGTAGTTAAGAATCACCTTATTTTGCGACTTTCACCCCGCAACTACTTCACCTTAGCGCCACCAATGACTACCCCCATTTCAAGACTTGATACGCCACTAGAGCCAGGGGAAAAGATCTGGTGGGTTCTGTGGGAGAAGCCTAGCTTTATGGATAGAAAAATTTGTATTTAATTGATTTATAAGGTTAACAATTTACAATTAAACATACAGTACCTACGTTCATAAAAATAATGTTTAGTCATTCCTTTTGGAAAAGATCACTTAATCTCTTGTTGGGTCTTCCTCTTTTTCTTTTGTGTATGTATGGCGTCCATACTGTTAACTTTTTGGCCCACCTGTTATGGTCCATGCGAGCTACATGGCCTGCCCACTCCCACTTTGTTATACAGTTTTTTAGATACATCTTTAATCTTTTTTGCCTTTCTTATAACTTCATTTTCCACTTATCAAGTCTACTGATACTGATATTTATTTATATATTTATTCTTTATAAAGCCTTCCTTTCCTAATTAACTATAATTAATTATTAATTATTAGCACCTACAGTATAGTTGTAATGCATTGTAGTCAGAGAGTTTGCTGTATATGAAAGAAATTAGACTCTACTACAAATAAACTGTAATATTTTTTTTTATTGTTGAAAATGTTCCATTACAAGTTGTTTTTATTTTGATGCATATTAAATAAACATTCCAGTGACACAAAATATTTTGACCTTTGACTTTGAAATTGTGACCTTTGACCTATCATAGTTAACATTTCATCCAAAATTTGCAATTTTCTTTGAATTTATAATTATATAAATTATTTTGAATTTGCATACTTTTTACTAAATTGTATAATTATTTAATTTTATTGAGTTACATCAATTCTCTGACCTTTGATTTTGATATATTGACCTTTGACCTATTCAACTTGCCAACACGATCGGCGCCGGGTATAACTAGGCCATAATTTACGATCGGTTTTCTCGGCTTTGTACATATATATATGTGAAAATTCAACTCCCATTTTCAGCTGTTATTCGTGTTCAATATCTTATAAATAGTTCATAAGTACGAAATCCGGGACGAAGTCCTCCAGAAAGAAAGTTGACAAATAGGTCTAGCCTAGGCCTGGCCCTAGTTCAAAGAGAAGAAACGTCACGAACGAGTGTTTAATGTAATTTTTATCTACGCACAGAAAATAGGCCCACATCGCTGAACAATGAATGGTTTATATTAGATGCAAGTATTACCCAGTGTACTATTGATGAAAGTGGACAATAATCTTCTATTGTTTCTTGTTCTCTTCAAAAACTGTATGCAACATTGTTGCTTTGCAGCTGGGCACGGGGTTAAAATTTCTTCTGAGACACAGCAGTAATGCGGTTTGTTTACGAAAGCAGAACATGTGCTCAGAAGATGTGAACGACTGAATGGGTTTGAGTTTGGGACGGGTTTTGAACTGAACACATAACTGTATTTGTTTTATTATTTTATACATAAATAGGCCCACGTACGCCGTCACTAAATGGTTTATTCGCTGCAAATGTTACCTAATATTAATTAATATGTAGACAATAATAGTTTCTAAATAATTATTTTGTCTTTCTCTTCAAAAACTCCGATCGGGCACGATGTAATAATTTCTTCACTGACTGCTGTAATGCGGTCTGTTTACAAAGGCAGAACATGTGCTTCTCTCGTCGTCACCGAATGTTTCATTCGCCACAAAACGTTACCTATTATAAATTAAAATGTAGACAATAATACAGTAGTTTCAAAATATTCATTATATATTTCTCTACAAAAACTGTATAATTATTAATACGATTTCGGATTTGGGCACGGTGTAATCATTTCTTCACTGACAGACTGCTGCAATGTGGTCGTTTACGAACATAAAACATGTGCTTTCCAGTCGGAGAGCCGTGTTGGAGATTTTGACGGTTATTGCAAAATTTGTAACACAGCGTGATGTCATTGATTCTAGACGCCCTCACACGGCAGAAAGGCTTTTAAGTTTTACACATTTTCATTAGCATAAAGTGTATGCTATCTCATAGCTGTTGAATAAACATTGAAAAGCGAAAGGTGCCCAAATATGGTAAAATCAGTTCCTAATATAGCCTAAGAATCCTTACATGATTGAATTTTCTGATTATTTTTTGTACCAGTTGCGCGTTCCAACGTTTTTGCCAAGGTTGTGTGACAGCCGTCGAATCATTACAATTTTGACTGCTATTTGTTTACAAATTTCTAATTAGTAGCATTTTCATCCCATACAGCGATTTTAAATATACATACCATAAGTCGAAAAAGTAAGTGTTTATTTTGATATAAAAATCGGTCTTGTACCCTATTTCAGTTTTCCACGACAAACGTTTAAAGAAGGATCATAATTTCATGTGTTCTGCTAATGCACGGTGGTGTTCGATGCACTGCCGCGTGCTGTGTGGCTGTGGTGTGAGTGGTTGCACTCAAGGCCTATACTAGGCCGTGAGTGCATAAACTACAGTACTGTACTGTATACTAGCTGACAGCCCTTTTTGGAGGAGGCAAGCTAGGAAAACCAAGCTTATGTTTTTATAATAAAAATCTGTTAAAAAGTGGCTGTATGGAAGACAAATGTCTGCATTAAAAAAGCAACAGGGAATTATTATTATTGTATATTATTAATAGGCCTATGTATAGGCCTATAGTTAAAAAAGGCCAGGCTATTTTTTATGTAAATAGATAAAGTATAGTTACAACTTCAATCAATTCAACATCATGATACAATTTTGGCCAGTTATTTTTGTCTAATTTGATTTTATTTTCAGTATACAATTTTTTTTTTTTTTTTTAAATCTAATATGATATTTCTATTTTTCACAAATTGTCACAATTGTCTGGAAATACATATTTTTTTCTACTTCAATACTCAGCCCATCATGGAGATGTGATTACACCATAGTATATATTGATGGATGTGTTTTATAGTTGAATGGTAAATATACTGTATACTGAAAGTGGTGCATAATTAAATAGGCCTATCTATAGTCATCATGGTTGGTAATACAGTAATGTTACTATTTAATATAAATTTTACTGCTACTATAATGAAGAAATGCAGTATTAATTTTTGTGAAAATAAAATATTCTATTTTCTAAGTATATATTAAAACAGATCACATGTACTGTAATTATAACCAATACTATATAACTTACAAGTAATTTGACAGTACACTTTTTTTATAAGAGCAAGTAAAATTTTTCACAGGCTCAGCGTATTATTTTTTTTACTGATGTCAGGCACAAAATGTTTTTATTTTGTTTAACATACTTTACAAATGTGGAAAATTATTATTGTACATAGGCCTATATTACTTTACTCTAGTATTACATGTACAGTACTTGAAATAAGGTATGGATATTGATGTTGGATTTTTTTTTCCCTCAGACTCAATTTGTTCTTATAAAAAAAAGTGCAGTGTTTTATTAAATGTGACAGTTTTAATACAACATACAATATGCCCTAACATTCTGATACTGTAATGCCAAATTGGGTGTCAATGTGTATAATTAACAATATATTAGTAGATATTTTAGTAACTACCTTTCAATTTTTTGTAATTTTCTGTGTGTACAATTGCTTGCAATTGGATACAATAACAATTATTTCCGTATGAGGTGATTTGTGAATAAGTATTTTGATACAAATTTAAATTATTAGATATTTAGATTTAAACATGTAACAACATTTATATAATTCATTATTTTGATATAGCTTTGTTTTAATAATTGAAAGTAATGTATGGACCAAAAGTATAAAAAAAATTATTGTTTGAGAAATCTGTTTTTTTTTTTGTTTTTTTTTTTAAATCAGAATTTTCCCAAAGTGATAAACTAATATTTTTTTTGTGGGGCCTTACATAGTTTATGACACCATAAAACCTCCATCATGCCTAGGCCTACACCAGGCCCAAATGTACACAGCACGCTACACAACGCCTAGAAAGCTTGAACTGAGAAAATAGGCCTCGACATCGACCTGCAACAGTGTCATGTTTTCCTCCTAGCCTGTTTTCAATGGTATCGGAGTACTGAATCCTCAGTGGTGGGGTACATAATGGTTTGATTAGTAGCAGTTGCATCCCAAATGCCGTATATAATAGATGTTTACATTATTGGGTAGTTTAATAATTATTCTATGATAGATTTTAAATTTGCGTTTGTACCTTATGTAGAAAATGTGAAATTTAATGAGTTTTGGCCTTCCACTTTGTAAAAAAATCGCATGTTTAATTGAAGCCTAAAATATCGATATTTTTCGAAACCAAAAAATTATTGAACCAAAATCGTAGTTTTAATCATCATTTAAACCTGTAGTTTAGTTATTTAAACTAGTTTTTTTAATAACATTTAGTGCCAAAATAACCAATTTTCAACGTATAAAAAATTGTTAAATTTCGGCCATTATCCATGACATGCGCCCTCACAATGAATGAAGTTAATGATGCGTGACCAACGCAGCTCTCCTACTGTTTCTTCACACACTCGATACGGCTGAATGGAGTTTGAGAATAGATGGAACAATGAGGGGGCAGGTTTTTAAACATTTTGAATCATTAAATGATTACAGTAAATTACTTAATTTTAATAGGATTATTGATAAAAAAAAAAAAAAACAATGTACGTTAAGAGAGACCATTTATTTAGCAAATGTATGGGCTGTACATAATTGTCATGCACCACCCGCCAAAAACACTGGCTGGTAAAAATATGTTATCATGTCATTGACCTTTTGGCCGAAAGCCAATACTTTATGGTCTGGTCAAGCGGTTTTTAAGTTATGACCTTTTGAAATTTAGGTACCACACCCCCTTTTTCATACAGGAAATGGCTCCTTTAACTTTGTACAGTTTTTACGAAGCTATATCTCCGGAAATAATGAAAATAAAAAGTTGAAAATGATAAGCTATGGCCCTACAAAACGGTGAAAATGTAAATCTTTCAATACAAAGTTAAAGGAGCCATTTCCGGCATGAAAAAAGGGGTGTGGTACCTAAATTTCAAAATGTCATAACTTAAAATTTAAACTGCTTGGAAATTGAAGCTGAAATTTTGGATTCTTTGTTTTGACATATCAAGGCATTCTTAGAATTTTTTTTTAGGAAAATCCAAGGGGTTCACATTGGCATGTTGGTTGATTTGAGCCGAAATGACCCAATTGCTTATTTTTGTTTTTATTATTTTTAGACATCATTGGTGAATAATATTAGGCAATCTTATAGGCCTGAGGTCTGTTTGATGTTAGTGTATTATACTGTTTTAGTAGGCTATCCATACCTACAGTAACTAGTTCAAGTAACCCCTTGGGTCACCAACCCTTTATTCCAATGTCTCTGTTTCAGATCTTTATCATGTTTATTGCTGCGAAGCAGCCAATTCATATTCTTGACAGCAATTTGACCTCTGAAAGGTCATTGTTTGTCAAAAAACAGGCGTCTAAGACGACTGAAAAGCTGAGTTTCCTTCTTTCGTTCTGCCGGGTAAAATCAATTACTTTAGGCGACGTTTGTAGACTGACCTACTCGTACCAACGTCCGCATGTCGCGCTAGCCAGGCCTAGACAAGCTAGGATGGTAGGCCTAGCCTTGAAGGGACGAAGGTCCCAATGAAAAACAATGTCGCTCCTTGATAGCTAACATTGTCTATTTAACATCACAATAATTCATTATTAGACCTATAGTTGTTTTTTGAATTGTACTCCACAAATCTCAGCCGATACAGTACCTCGCATAACTCGTTAACGTCTCGTATCTATTGTCGTGACGTCATGGCTCGCTGGCTCTCACACCAATTTAACCTCCTTGCTCACACACTTGTGATGTCTCGCACTTGTGATAAAATAACACGCTGGCTCGCACTTTGGCAACACTCTTTGGCAGTCAACTTGTCCCTAGAAAACCCGCCCTTGGAAACTTGCCCCATAAAAAATTGTACACTTCCTAGACCATGCAGTCTTCAAAATAAAAATTGTAACCTTTGGTAATTAACTACATTTTCCACATACATAGAAATTTTTGAAACTTTATTAAAAAAAACCTAAACCATAATTCACCACTATAGACACTTTTTGACAAAAATGAAAAATTACGACTTTGTTACCCAATGAGAGTGTTCTAATATAGACAGTGGGGCGTGTCTCATATTATTTGTTTTATTTTTATTATTCATTATTTTCACTTGACTCGCATAAATAATTTTGTTCGAAGAACATTTATATGCAGTTGTACTGCGCAGCACTTCACTTGCAATTTGCAATTTCTAGTATATAATGTATTATCACCTAACTTTAATAGCGCTAAAGACAATCTACCAACCTAAGTTGGCTTCTCTCCAAAGACTACTGTAGCCTTTTCTGTACTGTATTTTAGGCCTGCAAAGAATATTCATATTCATAATGTGAATTATGAACAGAAGTTTCTTTTATTTTTTTGTATGGAACTGTTTCAAAATATAGTGTTGAACAAATAAATAACACAGAATTATTTGGAATTTAGAAATGTAATTTGGGATTGAATCTTTTTTGGACATGTATACAGGTAGTCCACATCAAGTTTACTCCCTACCAGTGGTCAATTAGCAAGGTATATCTTTAACTAACACCACATGCATAATATTCATTTACAGTTTTCAATTACAAATTGAACACAGCACTAATGAATCCTTGGTTGAATGTTTTTTTATGTGTATCTTTCATTGTGTTTGCTTATGATCATGACAGTTACAGGAAGCAACACACTTGATAAATAATACATATTTTAATGAACTTTATCTATTCTCTGTCTTAGAAATCTAGTATATTATAAGTAGTAATCGGATTAGGAATGAACTAACTATGATTTATATTTACTTTGCAGTTCCCCGCTGAATTTCAAATTATAAATGATTTGAAAAATGATGCTGTAGCCCTATTGAAAGCTGGCACTGATCTGCATTAATATCACAGTACAGAAATCAGCGAACAAAAAATGTATAATGCTGCACTGATTTGAATAATTCTTTTTGGAATAAGAGAAATTGGATAAGAAGGAAAACGGTGAGTTAGCAAGGAATTAACATTAACCATTAAACCTAATATCTAATCATTCACGTTCCATTAAAGCTGTATTGTCCGATAAACTAAATGAAAAATTCTTCAAAAATAAATGTTTGATTTAACAAACCCATTTTAATAATAAATTTCATGAACTTGAGACTATTTTAAAAATTGTTTTCTCTGAATTGTGGGCTGGTAATAACCAAACAATTCTAGAAACACTTCCAGTGTCTGTAATTCTTTATGAATTTTTTTACATTAACAAAGTGTGTATTATATATTAAAGAAATACCACTAAAATTGTTTTAAATTCATTTTCTTAACATTATGATTCTTACTCATCCAAACATACAATTTAAGAAATTCAGAATTAATTTATATTTTTTAAGTATTTCTGGGTTTCATCGGACTATACATCTTTAAGTTTAAATGAAATGTCATGAACATGGTGCAACAACGTTAGAGGCCGCTGTTAAGATTGCCCAACAGGTGCAAGCTTGTATTTTAAGGGGTAATTTATACCCCCTGCACATTTTGGCAGAAATGGCAGTGTTATACTAGTACTAAAGAACTCTATAATCATGCCATCACAACAACATTTTAAGCCAAAATCATAAATTACCCTTTTATAATAATAATATTGTTAAGAATTATGGAAATGGAATCGATGCAAACACTTTTAAAAACAAATTATACTTCATAATGGTGGTACGGAATAATGGTGGTACGGAATTCTTAATAAGTGGCGGGACGGAAAATAATAAAATGGGTTTAAAATTAATTTTAATTTGACAAAGTTATTTTTCAAAGCAAAATCATAAATTACACATGTAAAATCATATAATAGCAAAATGATGAAAATCAAATCATAGTAAAGCGTCTAGAAAAAATAAAATTTGTTTTAACTGGTGGCGGTACAGAATTTGACCCAATAAAAATGCATGTCACATTTTTGGCTCATGTTGTTTTCAAAGCCGGCATAGAGCCTGACCCTGCTAATCTTGAGAAGGTCAAACGTTGGCCTATTCCACGTAATGTCACCCAGGTCAGAGGTTTTGTGGGTCTTTGCTCATATTACAGGCGTTTCGTGAAAAACTTTGCCTCAATTGTTCGTCCTCTGCAACTACTACAGTAACACACAAAGACGTACCTTTTGTTTGTCAGATGAGTGGGATCATGCTTTTAACATTGAGAGAAAACTTGATAACCCACCAATTGCGGCGTATCCTGATTTTAATTTACAATTTAAACTTTTCACAGATGCTTCAGAATTTTCTATTGGCTCTGTATTGACTCAAATTCAGGAGGGTAAGGAACGGGTTATCGCAAAAGTGAGAAGAAGTGGTCTACTTATGATAGGGAGTTGTATGCTATTGTGTGGAGTGTCAGGCATTTTAAGCATTATTTTCGTGGTAACCATTCTTATTGTTACAGGACACAAACCCTTGACAGGTTTACAAGTGTTACATATAGAAAATGATGTGACAGGTCGTCAAACACGATGGATTCTTGATTTGAATATGTTCAATTGGAAGATTGTGTACAAATCGGGTAAGACACATCTGAATGCGGATTCATTATCCCGTAGACCCCGATCCTAGTTTAACAGTTGATCAAGCTTCTGAAGAGTGAGATGGATGTTATAGTGGAAGATACTGTAGTACCTGTAAAGGGAATAGACTGTAAAGTTCAGGATGTGCATGCCCTAACTTCTTGTGATGGGCATGTTCATAATCAACGTAATATTAAATTAATTAATGAACCGGATAGAGACCCTGAGTTACAGGAGTTCAAAATGTGTGTCCAGTCACATGGTACAGTAAACCCCATCATTTCGCAGGCAACTCCCTGTATTATGAACGATTATGTAGGCAGTTTCATCGTTGTTAAATATTTATGATGGTTTAATGGTCCGCATTAATCATGATAGACGTGGGTGAAATTGTACAGTCCATCATACCTAGTTCTCTACAAAGGGAAGTATTAACATCATTTCATGGTTCTAATTCAGGACATTATAATTCTGACAAGACTCATTTCAGCTAATTGTTACTGGCCTATATATAGCACGTGATGTGAAGAAATTTTGTTTGGAATGTCTACCGTGTCAGGCAAGACAAAGACCTATCCCTCGATTACGTGCTCCAATGGATACAGTGCCAGCAAACCATCCATTTGAGAGAATTGCAGCCGATATTTTACAGAGTTGCCTGTGTCAGCCAGAGGTAGTCGTTACGTGTTAGTAGTAGGTGATTACTTTACCAAATATATAACTTTATACACAATTCTAAGTGCATGCAAAGATTTTATCAAGTGACATGGCGTACTAGGGTGTATTCATGGGGCTCAGTTTG